AATAGAGCTCTTCTCGTTCTAGGAACTCCTTGAGCATCACATCTTCTAGGGTTTTCGTGAATAACCCTAGCCATGGTATCGGTGGTGTTTCTGCTGTGCATTGGGCATCCCAAGGAATCAAGTGGCCAATGGCTTTATCTATCGGTTGTCGTTCATACACATTAAGTGTTGATCTTACCCTATCTTCGACAATTTGGCTTATTGAGGGGCGTCTTTGATTTTCGATCGTTGACGTATGTCGGAGCTTCGGATACCTTCCCGTGCGTAGTGCACGATACTCCTAAAGTCATCCTTTCGCCAGCGCGTTCAATAACGCTGGGTGATCTTTCATCCTGCTTACGTAACAACCAGATTTCAGGCGCATACATTAAGGGAGGAAGAATGGTGGAGTCAAGAAGGTGGTCACCGAGTTAGGCGTTCTTTATTCTCTTCATCACGTCTCCGATGCCCTTGAAGGTTCCTCAAGCCGCTAGAATCCAACTGCTCAACTCTAGAGCTTGCGGAACAGGACATGCGAAACTATTCCGCTCTTCATGAACATCTTTTGTGAGATTTAATCGAGGGCCAGTCTTTTGACAAGTATAATGTTTGATGTTATAAAAACGGTGTCATCGGCAATGCAAAGACGGTGTAACTGCAGACCATCAATTCTCACTTACATATTGTCCCATTCTATCTCTCGTATGATGTTTTGGAAGATGGCAGTAAATAATTTTGGCGAGATGGTATAGTCTTGTCGGAGCCCCCAGTTTAAATCGAAAGCTGCCGTATCGGGAGTTATTTCGGGGTCAAGAGAACGAGGCGCACTTATTTTACTGTGTTTAGTGTTTGATACCCAAGTATAGCTTGCTGAGTTCTGAACGTGGTGACTGGGTATACTCACGAGTAGATTGCCATTCTCTCTGAGAGTAGATGAGAAGATTATTTGTTGGAGCCGACTTTTGACCACATCTGGTTTACTTCCGAATGACTTTATTGTAGATTTTTGACCGAATTGATTCGTAGGTAACGAAGGCATACGCACGCCCAAATGCGCGATTATCTCTCCATAATCGCATAACGTGTGTGTCAAATCGGCGCAGCAAAAACAGGGACCTCATTTCCTCTATCCACCTACGTCTCACGGAAACATAAAGTTGCTTTTGGTTCATGATTAACTTCCTATCCTACACCAGCTGACGCGCTACATTGTTTCTTGGTCAACTACTTACCATGTGTTACTATATTCAATTACGTAAATACATTTCTATCAGCACTTGGCAGTATTTCGCATCCCAGAATACGTGTCATTCATAGCCATAGAACAATGAGGCAAACCCTGTCATAAAAGGCTGTCATGTTCACGACCACTAAAACCCTCGAGTTATTAAAAATTATTCTTTGTCGTCAAGAAACCAGGAAGTCGGCAGCAGACGAAGAATTGCTCGTTTTCCATTTTGCTAAAACTAAGACGAACACTGCGAGTTCGTTATTTGTTATGCTAACCCGAAGTTTTTACTATTATTATCATTACCTGGGCCGTCATCGCATCTCCTTTGGATCCCAACACTTCTTGAATTCAATTCGTTTTCCTCGCAGTCATCGTCCGCAGTAGTCTTCGAACATTTAGCATGTTGTTTCTGCTGCTGGATGTGGATTTCTTTTTCTTTATGAATGTCGTAGAATGCTAGTCGAGTCAGCTCTTCTTGAAATGTTGGAGATAGCCAAGCTAGGGCATTCTCGCATGGATTGGATGAGAGCGTTGGGGAAAGTGTCGAATACCAGCACCTCCATTCCTAATTGACTCGTCACTAAGCACTCCGCTTCCACACTCCTTCGCAAGGTTTTTATAGAACTTTATTCGCTGTCGTTTGTAAGCTTGCAAAATATTGAAGGAAATCATCTAGCAAATAGTATTTGGAGAAAGGTCCTCTGCTGTTGATCATGTCTACATGGCGTCATGAGAGCATACTAACCCTCTGTGATTGCTTTGAGTTGAGAAAAACATGCAGTTCTGTTTAGTTAGAAGCTGTGAAGGAAGTCTTTGGTTATTAAGTTGCCATACGGGCTTCTTGATCACATACAACTTCATACCAAGAATTTCACATTCTAAGGCGAGATCATTGTTGATGTAAAAGGAGATGCTTCCATCTTGTTAAAAATTATCCTATGTTATCTTAAAAACCGATTTTGTTTCAAATGTGTAGACAAAATCCTCAGTTAGTTATACGCAAACCTGAAGACCTCTATAGATTTTGGATGCATAAAAGCGAGCCAAATGAAAAAACTGCGAGGGCTGCGCAGAGAGGGAGCATTGGTCATGAAAAATTCTATGTATATGTATATGTATGTATATATATACATATTATTCCATTCTATATTCTGCATTTATCATTCCTTTTTCAGAGTAGTTGCGCTATCCACAGATGTATCATTATCAGAGAAGAATGCAAAAGCTCCAGTGAGTTTCTTACGAAGTTTTGCATTTATTTTCGCGAATATGTCCTTACATAATTTCATTTCCAGTCCTATAGCACAGAGCCGAATTTTAGCCCACTTAAGCAATTCGTGATTTTTCGCCGTGCACGTTGTTAATTGATATCAAGTCATCAAATCCATTCGGTGTTCATCATAAAAAGCATATCAAGTAGCCTGCTCAATAACCTTTGTGTTACTTAAACGGTACAAAAGGGAAGAGATCGCTTCAGGGCTTGTATGTTTACATTTAAGCATAGGGGCATTGTAATCCTCTACCAGTTAGTTGTACTCTTGCCAGAGGAGATATCTTGTACCATACATAAACTTCTGGACAGATTTTTTGTGTTATGAAATATAGAGAGGAACTTTTCTAATACATCGTGTGGGCACAGTGAATTTGTTAGGAAAGCTATCGTTTGAATGCCAATAGTAGAACGAAGTTATTTCATTAGCTATTTGTTGCAGAAAACTGGATACACAAAGTGAGGAGTGCTGGTTTACCTGTTTATATGTAATAGCTTTGTAAGTACTCGAACCACTTCTCGTTGGACTTTTTGCTAGTGGTTGCAAAACAAGAACGGGTGTGGTTATTTTTTGTCGTCAAAATGGATTGTATACATTAAGTCCAGTGCACATAGAGAAAAAATATGTGTGGTCCCAAACAAAATTGAATGCCTTGAACTTAATGTTCGTGGATTTGATTATTCGATCCGTTTCTTTAATCATAATGTGTAGACGCTATTTTGTAAACAAAACGTGTTGTCCACATAAGTGCCGTACTCCATTTGTCCTATACAAATTTTTGCTGATATCATCATTTTCTTCTGTTTTGATTAATGTCGTGATTATTGTCTTACATTACCCGTTATCAGCAGTACAGGGTGTTATATGTCAACGATAAGCAAAGTTTGGCTCGGTTGATTAAAATATTCGGGACGACGTGACCTCTAAAGAATGATGACACAATGACCACTTTCAACTTGAAATCAACATGATAAGTCGTAGTGAATTTTATAAATTTCAGTGGAATGTACTGAAATATAGAAATCTTACGGTGAAAGTTCTTTCGTTTTACTAAGATGAAATCCTTATTTTCTAGAGCTTACGCGATGTGTTTCATTCACTTTATTGCCTCAAACTTTATATTTCCACCACGCCAGAAACTGAGCAAGCGACGTGTATATGTTTGCAACTGCCGCCGTCCAATTGAGTATTTTAAAAACTTAGTCTTCGTTATCACTCTCTTTAAATGTTCTATTCTCAATTTTTGAATTCGAAGTGACAGTTTAAAAATTGGGATTATTGCAATGAAACAAATCCATACTATAAATTTATAATGTTCTGAACTCTTGAAATACCGTAGTGGTGGAGAAACTTGGCTCTTCGCAAATACGTTAATATGGAAATGCGTGGTAATTCCACCACCTTGTCACAGAGGTTCATTCACGTTTTGTGTAGGACACGATGAGGAAATGGGAACGTCGAAAAGCCACTAATCGTCTTTGGGTAATATGCAATAGAAAAATGACGCATGTACATGCCATAGCACAAGTTTAACTGATATACTCAATAGGGTGAACGTGCAAGCACTACAATATTTAGGATATTTACGCCCCAGCCTTTTCCAATTTCCGAGTAGTGCAGAACTTTACTGTTTGAGTAGGTAGTCATTGTAACTCGTTTAGTTGAAAACTATGCACAAGTAATGCTCATTCTACTTTTTAAAATTGTTTTTAAATAGCTGCGTCGTACCTAGCGCAGGATTCTTGTATTAAACTATATATATGTGTATATATACATATATATATGTACATATATACACTTACATATATACATGTAGATTTTTGTACTCACCTAGATATATATATATATATGTATATGTATACATATGTGTATATATGTATATGTATATGGCTTAGCGACGATTATTACTTTTGAGAAATTTGTCTTGAACAGAAATTTGGTCTGTTAGATTTCTTCGGGGATGCTTTGTGACACCTTTACAAAAGCATTGTTAACTATACGTCTGTTCTGTTCGGTTGCCCTGGTTTACTTCAATATCAAATATCCCAATTACCTATCGACTTTTTCGTTGTGGGCTGCTTTTAACCAAAACGTCTGTTTTCTGTTGGATCTGCTGCCATTCCAGGACGTTGGACGTTGTTGATATCAACACGAAGACGTCTTAACCCCAGTTACGGCATATCTCTGTTTTTTGGTCTGCGATTCTGCCTTGTGTTTCTCGCAATGAAGATCATCACATTGTAAAAATGCCTAACATCTTTCTCCTTTTTTGAAAATCTCATAGGATATATGAAATAAAACCAGTTACACTGTTTTGTTCGAATTTGCGACACGCACCAAGCTACAATGAGGCTAATGATTTTCTGAATAAACGTAGTGATGACCATCGCTACTCCAACAGCGTTTCTTTCCTTTTTCTGGGTAATGCTCTAAGTTCTCTATTGGTAAGTCCTTTTTGGTGATATCCTTGTCAACCGATTTTAATAGTGATCGTTTTTTAGGAGTCGAACTCGTTCTGCATGAACTTATTTCGTGGCCGAGCCGTCACTGATCAGGCGTTTCCGTATCCATTGAATCTCGACGACGATCGTCGCGAAACACTTCAACTGATAATTCGTCCAACAGAAAAATTCCTTGAAGAAGTGAACGATGTTGTCAAGTGAATCTTAGGATGCGATTTAAGAGTTTTAGTATGTAGGCGTTGGAATTATACACTGTTGGGCAAGATTATCACTACAAGTGCTAACATGAGTTGTTGTGGTAGTTCGATTGTGCAGAAAATGATGGAGAGAGGGTGGGATGGTTGCACTTAGGGGTAGTTGTCTAAGCTGTCTATACTTTCTGCAGTTGTTGCTTTCATAATTAAACGAATTGTCGATTCCATAATCACTAGTGATATGTTGTTTTTAGCAATTACGAACTTTTGTTTATTGTCGAAAAACTGGCTGGTTCGTAAGGACAAGGTTAAACCCCATCCACTCCGGCAGTTAAACAAAACTAGTCGTCATGGTGTAATTGTTAAGAACAAGAGTTTAAAAGATTCTTTTTTCAATTTGACTTAAATTTGAAATTAGTCCTTGGTATGTGTTCAGAAACGATCAGACAATGGAAATTCCGAAGGACGTTCTGGTACAGTTTGCTGCGTTAGGTGCACTTGGTGCAGTGGTTCCGCCTGAGTACGAGGGCGCTGGTATGAATAACAGCCAGATGGCAAGACTAGCGGAGATCGTGGGTGCACATGACCTTGCTCTTGGCGTTGTTATGGGAGCTCATCAGGTTGATGTGTATAGCTTTTCTGGACTTCCGTCATATTAATTTCGTTTTTTGAAGACCTTGAATATAAATCTAAGCTATATATTAAAGAAGAGTAGGTTATAAGTTCTACCAGATCTGACTGGACTCATTGTCAAGCTCGGTTGAAGGGTTCATTTAGTTAAAAATAACTATGGGAAATTATCTGTTCCTAGTTCTGTTGATTTTGACAAATCTTTTTCTATTTGCAAGTTCATGCTTTGTGCAAATGAGTTCAATAAATGCTGTTCATGTAAAACAATTACGAATCTCTTTTTCAGTCGATTGGCTACAAGGGTATCCTTTTGTTCGGAACAGATGCCCAGAAGGCCAAATATTTACCGGACTTGGCGACTGGTCGGAAGTTCGCCGCTTTCTGTCTTACCGAACCGACTAGCGGATCTGATGCTAATGTGAGTTGTGATGTGGTTTTTCATTTCAATCAAACAAACGCAAAAGGAAGATTTGCAAGACGTAGTTCTTTGTGGTAAAGAGGTTGGGGAATAGGTGGTTTATGTGAGGATTCGAATTATTGATTTTAAACAGGAAAGGGCTTGAAAGTAGAGGTTTTGACTTATGCTTATGCGGGTTCGGTCAAACATACTTCTTAGTGGGTGAATGACGAGTGCCTAATGCAACTGTATTTGAAGCATACTTGTTTAATGCTTATTTTTTTCAAATTAACAATAAATCAATCGGAAGCTCTCGCTGATTTCGATGCTTTCTGCAACTGTATGAATGTATGAGGTGCGTAGAATATAATCACTCGAGATTATAAGTCCTCGTAGGGTTTTTTTCATGGCGAAACGCATCTTAAATCTTTTATATGCATTCTTTTCACCAGAAATTAGAGAGCAATAATGAGTTGCTATTATAGCCTTTTCTTTTCGACTGGATGCCTTATGGGGTTGGAAAAAGTCGAAACCGCCGAAACTTCGGCTACTGTGCATTAATAAATAAATGACTGCAAATGGCAGTGATCGATAGAACTAGCTAAGAGACAGACGAAACGAAGGACCCGCATGGTGTGGTGGTGGGCGCGTTACTCCCAGGGAAGGACAAGAGCGCGTTCGTTTCCCACCGCAGACACCTGTGGTCCAGAGTTTTGCAAATATCTCAGCAACATTGTGGTTGTATTTCGCTCAGTACCCTCTCGTAAAAACTGTAGTAAGCAGAAAATAAAAAGTAAACATTGTGAGTTCAACTACTGCCTCAGCTTAACTGGGTTCAGTCTCAATGTGGACTCCCAGACCAATCCCGTTGACGGGTGATCGCTGATGGCAGTGATGGGTAGAACTAACTGAGAGAGAGGCGAAACGAATGACCAGCGTGGTGCTGTGGTGAACCCGTTAACCTCCGGAAAGGGTAATAGTGCGTTCGTTCACCACCGCAGACATCTGCGGTCCGGAGTTCTGCAAATGTCTCACCATCTTGTGGTTGCATTTCGCATAATATCCTGCCATAAAAATTGTAGTAGGCGGAAAATAGAAAATAAACATTAATAAATAGTGTAATAGCATTCTCATATTTGCCCATCGAGGAAAACAGTGTTGTGAAGTTGTTTGAAAATCAGTGCAAATTGAAAAGTGTAGCTTTAATATAGAATATCTCAGCTCATAATAAGCTTTTATGTTTTTAATCTGAATAAGAGGCATGGGAATCTAAACAGTTTTACCAAGCAGAAACTAATTTATATATTTCGGTTGCATAAAATTCTTGTTCGACCCATCCTTCGGTTCACCAAACCTGTCATCCTCCTTAGGTCCGGAAATTAGTACAAGATTTGTCTGTTGTCTGGAAACAATTCAGATGTGAGAATACGAATGGGAGGCAAGAAGTACTAGGAATCACACAGCAGATTGAAGGCAGGTCGTGTTAAATAAATTAATACTGCTGGGATCTACATAGTAGATTGAAGACGGGTCGTGTAAAATACATTAATAAAAGTTCTATGGCCATGAAGTGGTTGAGGCAGTCTCAGGTTCGGCTTGATTTCTGAAGTATTTCTTGCACAGGGAATTGTTGAGGTGCTTGAAGAATTGGTGATCAGTGGGCGAGAGGTAGTCGAGAATAGTGGACGAGGCAGAGTTTGCTAACCCAGCTTCTTCATTCTTTGCGGCGTCGGTAGCGCGTGGCATGGCTGCGTGTTATTGTGAAGAATGATTTTAGTTTCAACTTATTATTTACTGCCTACTCTTTTAACGGCAGGGTATTCATTGTGAAATATAACTTCAATGGTGCTGAGATATTTGCAAAACTCCGGATCCCCACCGCATACACCTGCGGTCCGGAGTTTTGCAAATATCTCAGCACCATTGAAATGATCTTAGTCTTTTTCTGTTGACCAGTCTTGGCGCAGAAACTGAAGTTTTATTTCGTCAGTTTATTGGATATAATCATCTCCGTAATTATTTCACCTCCATGGTGCTCTACTACTCTGCTCCTCTATTTCACCTCGCAACGGTTTACCACCTCATTTTGGCTGGGAGGTGTTCCTGGGTGTCGGGCTGCGATGTACAGTTGGGGATTCATCGCCACAGCAGGATCTCCCAAGCTGGGAAAGCGACTAACGTTTCTATCCGGAAGCCCAGCTAAGAGTAAACCAATACCAGGATTCACTACCGCGCTGATATCAAACTAATCGTATGATGGCAAATCTCCTTTTGATCTACAAGGGCTGCAACTGCCTGTGGTGGTGACGACCTGGGGCAAACTTTGGCCAGGCTGGCCTCGGAACTTCAGGGAAACACAATGGCTAAACCAGCAAAACTCCTAAAAATGGAGAATACGCTGGCGCCTGCACAATCAGTGAGGATGGGCCGTCCGAATAGCCAGGTATCCAAGTAACTACTTCACCTGGCTACAGGAAGTTCTGAGGGATCAAACCAGCGGCGGACCACCTTGCTCACAGTAGGACTTCGTTTCAGTGAGACTCCGGCTTTTGGAAGTGCTGCGGAGTATCATCGCGGTCCACTGAGCCGATCGTCGACGTTTCTACTTGAAGAAGTTTTCGTCGCACATCACAATAACCCATCGAAAGCCCACCGTTCTTGTTGCCTATAGGAAGCACCGCCGATGCCTCGAAACAGTGATTTTTTTTACTTTTATTCACTTCGTTCGACATCCGTTTTTTGAGCTTCTTCGACTTTCTCATTTTATTTAAATACTTCGAAACAGCTTAGATGTCTACACCGAGTTCTTCTGCAAGTTCTGGAAGAGTGGTGCATGAAGTTGCTTGAACCTTCCAATACATTCAAGTCATCATCTTCAGTGGTAGAAGGATTTCCACGATCTTTCTAATGTTTCACATCCAATTCGCCATGATAGAATTTTCCAAAACGACGTTGCATTGTGTACTAGCTTATAATTCGTTGGTCCCATATCTTATTGATGTTTGGGGCCGGTTGCGCTGCACAACGTCTGGATTTGAATTTGTGGAAGCAAATTTGTCAGAATTTTTGTTCTGTTATTTGAAGTCCTAACTTTTAAAATTTGTTAGAGATGTATTATAGTTTGTATTATAATCCAGTTGTGCTGGAACATCTCTTAATAACTCGAAAGACCGACTTTCTATAAACCTTGGCATAGATAGTTGATATATTTATTTATGTGATCTTATAAACTGATCTTCTTAAGCTGACGCGAGGTTGGTACGGGTCTTCGTTGTCGTTGTCGTTGTCGTTGTTTTTGATGTTGTTGGTCGATGGCTGACCTTTCGGCGATTTCGCCTTCCTCAGAGTCTGGATGTATTTTATATTAGAATACTTTAATTATTCGGTGGAAAAAGCTAAAGTACTAATGAAGATCAAACTTTTAAATAGATGGTGAATTAGGACGGTATTGTCAAATGTACTTCTACACCATGTTGATATTGAACGGAAAGACTACTCACCGTGAAATTACGTGTGGGACTGGCCCAAGCGTTGTTCACGTTGGGTCGCGAGCAAGACACACCCCGGGGTTAAAAATATCGTTTTGAAATAGGGTGCCAGGTCACGCGTGAGAGTGAAGCATTCGTCCTTCCGGTTCATCTTTGGATTTTTGAAATTTATCCAAAACGCCTCAAGAGTTTCGCGCGCTGATGTTTTTGATTCCTGCGCTAGGATCCGCACAGTCACTTCAAAATCATCACCGTTGTGCTTTTGTGCCCTACGCATACGTATTGACGAATTTTAACTTTCCTATCGAGGTGTTCTTTTATGCGGACACAAAGTGGTCGGCCCAGTTGTATAGAATGGAAATGGGTAAAATGGGCTTCGTATTTATCCATAATAGTCCTTTTGTTGAACCATGCGCAGGAGAAATAGTGTACTAAATTATGCGTTAATTTGCCAATGACTTAGTACTTGTGTGATTGCTAAGAACTTACTTGCAGTCGATTCGATCTCGTGCTGAGAAGTCTCCAGATGGCAAGCATTTCATCCTAAACGGAGGGAAGATTTGGATCAGCAATGGAGGTTTCGCCGACATATTCACAGTGTTTGCTCAGGTACGTGGAGTTCTAAAATTCAAAATCAGTGATAAATTTACTAATGACTATTTTCAACATATTTGTTTATGTGTTCTTATAAACTGATCTTCTTAAGCTGACGCGAGGTTGGTACAGATCTTCGTTGTCGTTCTCATTGTTTTTGATGTTATTGATCGATGGCTGACGTTTCGGCGACTTCGTCTTCCTCAGAGCCTGGACGTATTTAATATTAGAATACGTTTCGGCGACTTCGTCTTCCTCAGAGCCTGGACGTACTTTATGTTAGAATACTTTTTATTATTCGGTGGAAAAGAAGGTTAAAGTATTAATGAAGATCAAATTTTCAAATAGACGCCATATTGAACAGAAAAGCCACTCACCGTTATGTTACTTGCGGGACTGGCCCAAGCGTTATTCACGTGGAGTCGCGAGCAAGACACGCTCCGGTGTCAAAATATCGTCTTGAAATAGGGCGCCAGGTCACGCGTGATAGTGAGGCATTCGTCCTTCCTGTTCATCTTTGGATTTTTGAAATTTATCCAAAACGCGTCAAGAGTTTTGCGCGTTGATGTTTTTGATTCCTGCGCTAGGATCCGCACATTCACTTCAAAATCATCGCCGTTGTGCTTTTGTGCCCTTTGCGTACCTAGAGGGGTGTTTAAACGGATTTTAGCTTTTCCATCCAGATGTTCTTTTATGCGGACACAAAGTGGTCTACCCGTTTCTCCGATATATTCCTCGCCGCATGCATTACATGAGATCAAGTATATTATACCTAAACTCATGCAATCCCCGTCTCTCCCGTTGGGACAGATCACACAGTTTTCTGAGCTGCACAAACGATCATAGAGACGGTTTCGAACTAACTGGCGGCGTGGGGTATTGGGTGGGATGTCAATAATCGTTACGTAGTTTTCCTTTTCGGCTTGGGAGTCCCCGCTGTGGGAACGAATCCTGTGATGTACATCGGTTATTTCTCGACTTAAGAACGAACACCCTATTGGCCCTGTCCTTTACTTGCTTATCCTAACCCAGCTGCTAAAATTCATTTCAACCCATCTACCTAACACCGAAATATTTCTAGATCACCTAAGGCGCGCGCAACCAAACAGCACACATATAATGGAGTCATTCGATGTTAGTTCACTTTATACCAACGTGTCCAATGACTCCGCAATGCAAGCCCTTCTCGAGTTGCTCGTAAAGCATGAAAAGAAAATAAAAATGCACGGCTTGTCGATGACCCTTTTAAAACAATGTCGTAGTTGTTCAATCTTTAGGTGGTCCGGAAAATATTTTGCACAAATTAGAGGGTTGGCGATGGGGCAGCGTTTAGCACCAAGCCTTGCCATCGCTTTCATGTCTAAGGTGGAAGCTCCAGTTCTCGATCACCGACCCTTACTCTACTGTCGATACACAGTCAACTGCTTCATCGTCTGTTCTACACAAGAAGAAATGGATGAGTGCTTTGAATTATTAAACCGACAGTCAGAGTGTATAAAATTTACACGAGAAAAACCTACCGAGAATTGGCTTCCATTCTTAAACATCCAAATAAAGCTCTCAGTAAGTGGCTATGTAACAAAATGGTATCGCAAGCCAAGTAGTAAAAACATTCTAGTCCACTGCCTCTCCTCTCATTCTTCACACATGAAAAAAACACTTATCAAAAATATGTATCGTACGGCTAAAAATGTGTGTACAGGAGAAGAGGAAAGGAAGGAATCGCGAAACCTGGCACGAAAAATTGCCATTTCCAATGGCTACGAAGTAGAAGCCACTCGTGTTCTTTTGGGTCTTGGGTAGTTTCCCAAAATAATATTTCAGACGAAAGTAGGATTCCCTTTAAGCTGCCCTTCATATCAAATGAAGTAGGTCGCGCCATTAAAAAGTGCTTAAGAAAAAGTGGTCTTGAAAATTATGTAACGATTATTGACATCCCATGAAATACCCTACGCCGCCAGTTAGTTCGAAACCGTCTCTATGATCGTTTGTGCAGCTCAAAAAACTGTATGATCTGTCCCAACGGGAGAGACGGGGATTGCATTAGTTTAGGTATAATATACTTGATCTCATGTAATGCATGCGGCGAGGAATATATCGGGGAAACGGGTAGACCACTTTGTGTCCGCATAAAAGAACATGTAAATGGAAAAGCTAAAATTCGTTTAAACACCCCTCTAGGTACGCAAAGGGCACAAAAGCACAACGGCGATGATTTTGAAGTGAATGTGCGGGTCCCAGCGCAGGAATCAAAAACATCAACGCGCAAAACTCTTGACACGTTTTGGATAAATTTCAAAAATCCAAAGATGAACAGGAAGGACGGATGCCTCACTATCACGCGTGACCTGGCGCCCTATTTCAAAACGATATTTTGACCCCGGGGCGTGTCTTGCTCGCGACTCCACGTGAACTACGTGTGGGTCAGTCCCGCACGTAACATAACGGTGAGTGGCTTTTCTGTTCAATATGGCGTCTATTTGAAAGTTTGATCTTCATTAATACTTTAACCTTCTTTTCCACCGAATAATAAAAAGTATTCTAACATAAAGTACGTCCAGACTCTGAGGAAGACGAAGTCGCCGAAACGTTAGCCATCGACCAACAACATCAACAACAGCGACAATGACAACGACAACGAAGATCTGTACCAACCTCGCGTCAGCTTAAGAAGATCAGTTTATAAGATCATATAAATAAATATATCATCTATGCCGAGGTTTATAGAAAGTCGGTCTTTCGAGTTATTTTCAACATACTGCAATGGTTTACCGGCTTGCCTTCATGGGTGAGGGATGTTTTTGGTTGTTTGAATAGATTGTAGAGCGGTGAAGTCTTCTCTCAGCATAAGTTAAAATTCCTGCTATGAGTAAAATAACATGAAGAGTTCCTATCATCTCGGCAGAAAGTCGACTATAAGGTGTGAAACCATTTTGCAATTCAAATAGACGAGTACTACTGTGTCGCTAAGACAAAGAGGACAAAATGAAGAGTAAGTAGGAGGCAGCAGTAAAAGGTAACCGAATATCGTGTGCGACGTTATTTCTAATGGATGAAGCGATGTCCAATTGGGAAACATTCTTGTGCTTTGTATCTGGAAAAAATTTGGATCTACGACGCAAACTTGGTATTCATTTGAGGCCGTTATCGAAGCGCGGTCTCCGATGTCTACGTCTTGCTGTTCGCTATCCTTATCAACAACTGGTGCTAGTAAGCCTGTTAAACGGTGAAACAGAACTAGACGAGTTGCTGAATCCCTTATTTGAAGTTTTGGAATTGCCATACATTTTCTTTCCTCTCTAATTCTTCTTTATTTACTTATCACGGAGAAGTGGTTACGAATGCCGTGCAACAGACGCACTATACCCACTTGTTCGACGTTTCTCCAGGCCACGTTACACTAAAGCTATGCTGAGATATCAGGGAGGTTCGGAAGTCAGTATTCAATGACATTTTGAGGAAGACAAAGCCATCATGTGGTAGCTGAACCAAAGTCAAATCCGGAGTCCTTAGCGTTTGACGCGCAGATGCGAAACAACGAATCAGATGAAAGAAGTGCTGGGATTTGTACAATATATCATGACGGGTCGTATAAATGCTTATTTTATTACATATATTCCACTGAATCACTCTAACTCACTGTTATGGATCGTGGAAAGATTTCACGCTTTATGACAATATTTTTGCTAAGGTAACGGAAATTCCTGAATTTGATCAAATTTAAAACGAGATTTCGGATGGAAACAACGAGGAACTTAAATAGCCCACTTCAGGACTGACTGCATTATTCATCGCCGTTCAACACCTAGGCATACCTACCACATTCTGAACGAGAATAATTTTGTAAAAACACTTTGAATGGTCATTGTGTACTAGATGCAGTTGCAAAACACAATTGCCTTGTAGAGCAAGATTTTAGGTCTGAGGTAATTATGTTTTAGACACCGATAAAGATGCCCGATGGCAGTGTAAGGGAAAAAGTATCCGCTTTTATCGTCGAGCGTGCTTTCGGCGGTGTAACAAGTGGTCCACAGGAAAAGAAAATGGGTATAAAAGGGTCAAATACCACGGAAGTGCACTTTGACAATGTGAAGGTAAAGGTCTTTGGTTTTGAGTTTGAGCTAGCATCGCGTCTTTGAGTTTTTTTGAGTGGTTTCATGTAGGAGCCACAAATATGTCAGATTTTTTTGCATAATTTCTGAAACAATATTGTGATGTCTTGTAGACTGGGACGGATTTCCGATACATTTCACTTCTTTTTCAGAATTCTGAGGTTTATGAATGTGTCGTTTTCTTGTTCAGCAATCGCGAGGTTTTTAAACAGCATACATTTACTTCCATAAAAACACAATACAATACAACGCCAACTGACGTTTCGGCAGTATCGCCTTCTTCAGAGCCTGGAAGGGTATACTGATATACAATCTACTAGGCCAAACGCTTCAATAACACTTGCAAAAAGACGAAAGACTCTTTGGTAATTACATGATCAACAACTCGAAAAAACCCACCGCTTTTTCGTGACTTCCAATGAGGAAGTTTAGAACAGACCTGATTATAGTCGCATGTGGTTGACGACTGCACCATCCCACATCAAAAATCGATGCGAACGTACGGGATCAGGTCGCGTATGACCTCCGGGCATTCATCCCTGCTATTCATTGTAGGGATTTTGGCATTGATCCAAAAAGCCTCAAGAAGTTTTCGCGCTGGGGTTTTGGACTCCTGTGCAAGGTTATTGACTTTTACTTTAAAATCGTCTCCGCTATGCTTTTGTATCCTATGCGTGCCTAGTGGGGTGCTTCGTCTTAGTTTTCGTTTGCCATCTAGGTGTTCTATCATACGGATACACAAAGGTCTGCTCGCTTCGCCAATATATTCATCTCCGCAATGTTACAAGAGATCAGGTATATCGTACCTGAACTCATGCAATCACCGTCCCTGCCGTAAGGGCAAATTACGCAATTTGTTGTTTCACACAGGCGGTTGCGAACTAATTGGCGACGTATAGTAGCCGGTGGTATTTCAACTATCGCTACCGATTCCTCTAGACTTGCCCTTCTTAAGCATCTGAGGTTTATGTTTTCGTGAATACATTTAATGCGGAGTGGACATCGTAGTGTACCGAATAGGTTACTGATTGGTTTTGAGGGGTTTCTTAGAAAAATTTCATGGATTTGGCTACGATCTCTCAGGTGTGCTAAATATGTCGTTCTACGTACATAGCTGGCACTAGAATTCCTTGTTTTTTTCGTTGTAATCGAATTAGTGCAAAACAGGGTGGGCGAAAAGTGTGATTGTCACAAAATACTCCGTCTTTGTTGTGACATTTTTCTTGGATATTTATTGCTTTTACATGTCGAGGATTCTTCGACACGGAAAATCTGGAAGACTTCCAGCAATTCTTTGCATTTCTTCTTAGGTTGGATCACTTTATGCACGTCGGCTAATCCATAAAGCCCCGTATGGACACTATAGTGTCCATAGCCGCTTGAACCAGAGGCTCTTATGGATACCTTGGTGTCCATATTCAGTTTAGTGAATTTAAAGTAGAAATTAGAAAAACAAATTAGGTAGTAAATGTAACAACAAAATAACCAATTTCTACAAGTGTGCTAATTCCTTGAACCCTCAGATTTTTAGCCAATGAGAATGGCAATGAAAAATTTATAAAAAGCAGCATCGTACATTTTATGAGTGACGGAAAAAACTGTACAGTTCATTATGTGGGGCACAAAACGTTCAATTTTCAATCAGCAACTCATTATTACTCTATTTGGTATCAATACGATGAAACGTTGATGGTGTCTTGAGGAAGTAAATGTCGCAGCAGTAAAAAAATTAATGGACAATAATAATACATAGTAAATGGTATAGACATGTAGGAAGTAGAGCGAACTTGCTTCTCTAAGAAAAAGCTCCTAGGTTTAAAGCACCCAGAATCGTTTAATTAACAAAAACCAACAGCGCAGCACCGAAAAATCAGCGTTGTGACAGCTATTGATTGGCAGCGCGATGGCTCGCTCACGAGTTTAGTTGTTTTGTGAATCTGACGAAAAACTGCTCATAGACGATTCGCGGCGACTCGTTAAACGGGCAGGGCCAGTATGAGTTGACGGCTATGCATTGGGCGAATTATAGATTCGGTCTCCATATTTCGATTTGATGAGTGATTGGAGAAATAAGCGAGACACTGTAAAATTTTTAGCAATGCTGTTAAGGTTGATTACGTCGTTTTTTCAGATTCTGTTAGTAATCTAGACAATCGGATTTTCGCTTCAGATAAATACTTTTCTCTTTAGATAGCTCAGTGCTTTTCTCAAAATTCTAAATGGAATTTCAAACGTCCTTGCAGTGAATACAGTAATCTTACTCTTTGGAGGGGCGCACCATAAATTTGTGATTTTCATGACTTGGAAATACAAAAGTTTCTAACTGGTAAGAAAAGAACGTTGGATAGCATAAAGGTAAAAAGGGATATAAATCAATTTGCAAGTTATATATGGAAAATATGCATGCTAATGAAATACGTTACTTCTGGGTCTCATATGCCACTTTCCATCTTACGCGAAGGTTGTAGGTTTTTTGATCAAAGAACTTTAATTTTCGAGAAGTAAGTGCTTAAGATCTGTAAGGGCCTTTAATTTTTGTGTTCTGCAGGTGCCTGTTGAAAATCTGCTAGGTGTCGAGGGTGAAGGATTCAAAGTGGCGATGAACATTCTTAACAACGGCCGGTTTGGAATTCCAGCTGCGTGTACGGGAGCTATGAAGTACTGCATCCAGAAGACGGTACACTGCATGGAATTACTTAATTGTTTCATTATTTAAAAAATTATTTACTTTGTTAGCTTATCGAGGGAACCAGTGAATGCGTCATTTTGTTTCTCAGTATTCGCGAAGTTGTTACACAGCATACGTTTACTTCCGTACAAAAACACACGCAATACAACAGTAGTTGACGTTTCGGCGGTATCGCTTTCTTCAGAGTCATTTTCCCGTGCCTTCCATTGAGGAAGAACTGCTGGTTAGAATCGTATATGGTTGATAACTGCCTGAGAAAACGGCCCCGTAGAAGGCGGTACTGCCAGAACGTCAGCTACTGTGGTATTGTATGTTTTTTGTATGGAAGTAAGCGTATGCTGTATAACAATCTCGCGATTGCTGAGAAAGAAAACGATGCGTGTGTAATCCAATGCCGAGGTTAATAAAAAGTCTATCATGGAAACCAGTGAACATTTACTTTTGTACTAGGGAGACTGCATAGGAGCGAAGGAGCGATTGGTGTGTTGTAATTTTTTGGAGGGTGTAGTCTCATCACCGCTATATCTTCTTGCAACTTTTTCAACCAGTTGATGTAGTGTTAGTAGTTTGAAGTGTATATCATTGCGAGACATGAGTTTCTCACGACAATATTTTCATTTAGACAAAAGTTTGATAGTTTTGGCCCTTTTATGTTTTAGGAGTGCATTCAGTATAATCATGAAAGAACGCATTTTTCGCATCCTATCAGAGCTATTGCAGCGGCTTTTTCTCTCATATATTCATTTTAATTGGTCATTCAACCATTTATCAATTTAAGGTCGACCATGTGACGCAGCGCGTGCAGTTTGGTCAGACTTTACAGGAATTCTTCAATGTTCAGGTGATTTCATAAAATTTTAGCCGTGATTGAATGAAAACGAACTGGCCTTTCTATTGAAAAAATCGCCCGCATTAAGGAAATCAATTGAGAAACACTTAGGAGAAACTGGCAAACATGGTAGCCCGTCATTATGCCACAGAATCGATCGTTTATCTTCTTTCCTCAAATATGGATCGCGGAATCCAAGACTACCAGCTGGAAGCTGCCATTGGAAAAGTCGCGGCATCAGTAGGACAATTGTTTAGATCTCAATTCTTAATACTTTATTTAAATTGCTTTATGGTTATGAAGTATGCCATTGATTTCTTCTCTGTAGCTTCCATTTCTTCACTTCAGGAAGTTTCTGTCAGCTAGAATTATTAGTTTGTTGCAGTTCAAGTCTTCACATGTTTGTTTACTGAGGTCAAATTTTGTTGAAAAAAGATTAAGAAATTGGGAAGAAAATGAGGGTCTAAAAGAAAAATCATGAATAGATATGAATCTAAACGAAGTATTTTGTTTGCTTGAACTTGATACTTGTACGGCCCGTCCTCAGTAGTTGTGCGGGCTCCAGCATAATCACCATTTTTCGGAGAATTGCTGGTCAAGCCATTGTGGTTACTTGGAATCCTGGCCAAAGTCTGGTTCCCCAGGTCGTCACCACGGCAGGCAGTCGCAGCCCTTATGGATCAGAGGATCAGGGCTTTGTGGATTGTGGATTGTGGATTACCACCATGCGACTTTGATACCAGGACGGTGGTGGATCCCGGTATTGGTTTACTCTTAGTTAGTTAGGGTTCCTGATTGCCGCACTCCTTCTCAGCTTAGGAGACCCTGCCGGGGGCGAATCCCACCGCTGTACATTGCAGTCCGACAGCCAAGAACAGCTCCCAGTCACGATGAGCCGGTAAACCGTTGGGAGGATTTTGTATGCAGTTGTGGAAAAAAAGGGTAAAGTTCTCAGCGTTGATCTATCCCTGAAGAATGTGCCATGCATTCGACTTCATTATCTTTAGAAGTGATTGAATACCTATTCGGCTTTGGTTCATTCGTTCATTCTACATTGGTTTTTAAACTGTTTTTGTGTGTCTTCATTGTATATTCATTTTAGTCCATTCTTTCGTAATGCTATAGAAATTCTTCAGGAAAATGCATGGTGGGTGTGTGATGAAGCGATTCAGCTGCATGGTGGCATGGGATTCATGGCGGAGACTGGTCTTGAGCGTGTGCTTCGGGATCTTCGGATTTTCAGGTGAAAGTGTGGTAGTACTGTATTATACTCTTTGTTTTCGAAACTGGTTGAAATTTGTTATTGTTTACTAGCAATATTTAGGCATTGGATTTGACTTAGGTTCTTCTTAACTGCTGCTTTTATTTCGTTCAGCTTTCTATTGATATAAACTTCATTTACTAGGATAATAATTTCCGTTAGGGATGTCGTATATCAAGTAACGCCCGAAACTTTTTTTTGACGATAGGCGAAGATTTCTGGATCAATAGGGTTTTAGAAGCTACGTAGGTTAATGTAAGAGGCTTCGCTTTCTCGCTTCAATTATGCATATAGTTTCTGGTAAGTTTTTGTAGTATTTTTAGGACAAAAGTGTTCAAAAGAAAAAAGACAGGAAACTAAGTTTTTTCAAGTGTTTTGAATTCCCAACCGAAGAGCGGCAGCTGGGAACATAAGTGATGTCTTCGTATACGTGTTCTTATCATCCTGGAGAAATTTCGCGTGTTCAATTTCTTCTATGTTTGAAATACGAGTCCCAAAAAAATATTTCTTGTGTTCCATAAAACCACGATTACATGGTGCTAGAATGATGTAACTTGTTCGTTAAGAACTGCACATTTCAAGGTTTTATTTCAACTAGTAAATTTTAATGTGAACTAAAATATGTTGCTTTGAAGTTGAAAGCCGCCATTGTTTCACCGTCGAATGCATTCTGTCATCTCAGGCGGTATGTGTTGTATTGATTATCTGTCATTCTCATCATCATCGACTAACAAGAAAGGGGACCTGTAGACACCACATCGAGCCACAGAAGTCCTTTATGCTTCACGTGATCGAAAAGCAGAAAGACTATCAAGTTGTTCATGTGACATCCTTATTTTTACAATTATTGCACCGTGCACATACATATAGCTTGACATATAACTTGTCAGGTTGTGCCGTGAATACTGCGAGTATTCATAAGTATTTTGTCAGACCCTGAGCGAGTGGACACGTATTAGAAACGATTCCCGAAATTCTTCCATGTACTTGGTTTCAGAATTCTGGTGTATCATACGTCGTGTCGTTGTTTGTTGAATGACTCGTGCAGGGGCCAATGAAGTTTCAATTTCTCATTGTCGCGTGCGAGGATAGGTTCTGCTCGCTCTAGGGACTCATTGAGCACAAAATATTTCTTCTAGAATCTTTACGAAGAAGTCTGAGCATTGGGTCGGTGGTCTTACTGAAGGTCATTTGACATCCCGAAGAATCCAATCACTGTCTCTTGTCCATTGGTTGTCGTTCATACGCATTACTTGTCGGGCTCACCTGATTTTCGACGTTTCGACTGTAGAGGGGCGTCTCTGATTTTCAACCGTTGAGCCGGATCGAAAATTTAGATTCGCTGCCTCAGTTGCGTGATACGGGGCACTTCTAGCGTCACCCTTCCGACAGCGCATTTGAAAACGCTGAATGACCGTTCATCGTGCTCACGCAGCGACCAGATTTCTGACGCATACGTTAAGAATTGTGGAGTCGAAAAGGTGGGCAGGAATTCTAAGGTTGTTTGTCTTCTTCACCAAACTCTTATTGCCTTTGAATTCTCCGCAACCAGATCGCGTCCTCTGCTCAACTCTGGAGCTAAGTCGTTCATCATGTTAAATTCCCTACGTAGATAGGAACATTCAGTGATATTATTCCATTGAACTTTAATACGGCTTCCGAAGCAAATCCATTCCTCGCAAACATCGTTTTCGTGGGATATGGTCGACGACCAATTTTTCCATGTGTGTTTTCAAGGTGTTTTTAAGGTGCCTACATTCGTTCCGTATGGCTAATGCTTGATGGTATAAAAATGATACCATCATCAAAGCGAATTTATTGTAATTGCCGAGAATCGAGTTTTATTCTGTCGTTGTCCCATTGCAGTTTACGCGTATTGTTCTGGATAGAAGCTGTAAATAATTTGGCCCAAATCGTACCACATCATTGAAATTTTTCCTTGCGTTGATGTTAATATCGTTATAAAATGGTGGTGTTCTGGTTGAGAAATTCGTACATGGCTCACGAAGGGTATTTTTGCACTGAGTAGTGAAGCTTTGCTGGCGAGCTCTTTTGTCACCACTACTGTCTCAACTGAGTCTAAAGCACTCATCAAGTCGATGAAAATGGGATAGAGCCGTCTGTTGTACCCTCGTGATACTTCGATGAATCTCATTATGGCGTGGATGTGGTCTATCATACTGAGCCCTCAGCGAAACTGCTTGCTTATACTTGACAGTTTATAGTCTAATTTTCTGTCAATCCTTTTAAGGATGACTCGAGTGAAAAGTTTGTAGACGACAGACAGCAAGCAGATTGGGCGATAGTTGCCGATATCGTGTAGTCACCCTTCTTGAACAATAACACGGTCCTGCTGGTCATCCACTGAGTAGGGACCTTGGATTCAGACAGGTAACGTGTGAAGAGCCGAGCCAGTGTGTTCACGAGGACTGCCGGGAGGTTCTTTCGTTGTGCGGCTCTTATCCTGTCCAGACAGGGTTTGGAGTACAATTTTTCACCGACGAAATAGCATGTCGGATTCGGAACGGAGAACCAGGGGGTCGAAATATCCATTCGCCTTTATTTTGTCTGAGCACAGGAGCGCGTAGCTACCGAAGGGATTTTGAGTGGTAATCGTAAGTGATTTTCTCCATCTCCTTCCTAGAAGTCGGAATTGTTCCTTGTTTCGGTGGGCTTTGTGAATGCTTTTTCCAGCCTGTGCAGATTCGGCTATTGCTGCTACTCTCTTTTCTTTGAGATCTTTTATCATCTTTCTGTTGGGCTTAGGAAGTTCGATTGTAAGTTGGCAGTTGCCTGATGCTCTTCGTGACTTTTGAACTGTCGACTTTTGTAACGATAAGATGAAGATGTTGAATAAACAGGTTGTATTATTTTAATCGAAATCGTCGATCACCGCAGTATTTTTCTACGGACCATTTAGAGATTTGAATAAATCTCAATTCACATTGATTTTGAGATTTCATTAGCTTTACTTGCGTCTCTCCTTCACACGAAAAACGGAATCTCCTAAATGGTCCGCTTTAAAATTTTGGGGCAACAGCAATATCGGTTAGACAAATCCTTCGATGTGCTGTGATGTCGTTAATTTCATTATAGTATTTTTTTTACACTGAGGAACTCTCACGTTCAGGGATGATGGTGGGGTTTTTGGAATTGTTAGTTAACATGGATCGTCTTGTTCGTCGTTTTAAACTCGGGCTGCTGCTCGCCCTATTTATTCTATTCTGATCCTTAGCTCTCAGTGTAATATTCACCTGATATTCTCCTCCGCTTTATCCATATTTCTGAGCATAACTGTGTCTATACTAGAGTTCTAAGTCAATCTGTTGCAAGAGGAACATGTATCCCATTATATGAGTCCATCTGTATATCACACGTCATAGTCGCTTTTGGTTTGTCTCTTTTTGATTACCATGATACCCGTTACGAGTCGGTCCGTGATTGCATGGTTGAGATCCCGTAATTGAAGAAAAAATACCATCGAAAGTTTAATGGGCTTTTTATAAGTAGAGAGAGTTTTTAGAGATTCGATGCCAATGATTCATGCGAACTTCAATCTTTACTAATCGGTAAATTTATTCGTAGTCGTAGCTGTTTCAGGAGTTATTGGAGTGTTTTTATCTTTTTTTATTTACATGATCTTATAAACTGATCTTCTTAAGCTGACGCGAGGTTGGTACAGATCTTCGTTGTCGTTGTCGTCGTCGTTGTTTTTGATGTTATTGAACGATGGCTGACGTTTCGGCGACATCGCCTTCCTCAGAGCCTGGACGTACTTTATGTTAGAATACTTTTTATTATTCGGTGGAAAAAAAGGGCAAAGTATTAATGAAGATCAAACTTTCAAATGGACGCCATATTGAACAGAAAGGTCACTCACCGTGATGTTATGTGCGGGACTGGCCGACACGTAGTTTACGCGAGCAAGACACGCCCCGGGGTCAAAATATCATTTTGAAATAGAGCGCCAGGTCACGCGTGATAGTGAGGCATTCGTCCTTCCGGTTCATCTTTGGATTTTTGAAATTTATCCAAAACTAATAACCTACGCCGCCAGTTAGTTCGAAACCGTCTCTATGATCGTTTGTGCAGCTCAGGAAACTGTATGATCTGTCCTAACGGGAGAGACGGGGATTGCATGAGTTTAGGTATAATATACTTGATCTCATGTAATGCATGCAGCGAAGAATATATCGGGGAAACGGGTAGACCACTTTGTGTCCGCATAAAAGAACATCTGGATGGGAAAGCTAAAATCCGTTTAAACACCCCTCTAGGTACGCATAGGGCACAAAAGCACAACGGCGATGATTTTGAAGTGAATGTGCGGATCCTAGCGCAGGAATCAAAAACATCAACGCGCAAAACTCTTCAGGCGTTTTGGATAAATTTCAAAAATCCAAAGATGAACCGGAAGGACGAATGCCTCACTATCACGCGTGACCTGGCGCCCTATTTCAAAATGATATTTTGACCCCGGGGCGTGTCTTGCTCGCGTAAACTACGTGTCGGCCAGTCCCGCACATAACATCACGGTGAGTGACCTTTCTGTTCAATATGGCGTCTATTTGAAAGTTTGATCTTCATTAATACTTTAACTTTTTTTTCCACCGAATGATAAAAAGTATTCTAACATAAAGTACGTCCAGGCTCTGAGGAAGGCGAAGTCGCCGAAACGTCAGCCATCGTTCAATAACATCAAAAACAACGACAACGACAACGAAGATCTGTACCAACCTCGCGTCAGCTTAAGAAGATCAGTTTATAAGATCATATAAATAAATATATCAACTATCTATGCCGAGGTTCATAGAAAGTCGGTCTTTCGAGTTTTTATCTTTATTAGTAAAGCGAGGACTTTGTATTGCAGTAACACACTAGTATGTGTCAGCGGTAAACAGTATATGCGAAGGCTTCAGATGTCTTGTTTCAGAATCTTCGAGGGTGCCAACGATGTGATGCGGTTGTTCGTCGCGCTTACGGGTGCGCAGTATGCTGGGAAACACCTTCAACAAGTCGCAAATGAAATTAAGTGTGGTGGAATTTCTACATTATTGGGGCAGGTTGTTAAGAGAGTGACAGGGTAAGTGGATTTCCAATGTTTCACTTTGTGCTAAAGGTGACTCATGAAGCGCTCGGCACGATCTGTGATGAAATATTTAGCGTTCAGAAAGGCCTGATGTACGAAGTTGTGTAGGAGTTTTCTCTTGTCGTCTTGCGAGCATTGTTTAACACTTTACATAGCATTAGATTTCATTGTAGTTTGGAGTATTAATGTATGATTTGTCGAATACTCCCCCGTTGCATGCTTCGTTACTGTGAAAGATGCTACAGAGGAATTGAGATGGGGAACTATGTTAACGTTAAAAAAGCAGAATGAATATATTAGTGAATGATACTTATGGTGAAGGGCTCGTGTAGGGCACTGGTCGGAAGCGCCGTGCAACACACATGTGGAATCGATCTACGTGCACATGGACCACCAAGCCTTTCATCCCTCTGGGGTCGGCAAATTGGTACCATACTTGTCTAGGAGGATAGCAGCACTGACTCGATACATCGGTAGGCACTCGCGACTCATTGTAAAGACCAGATATGAATTCAATCATCTTCAACAATGTTTAAGGAAGTCGAATGTATGGCGCATTTCTCAGGGATTTATCGTCCCCGAGAGCTTTATCCTTTATTGTTTTGATTATATCGATGAGAGAAGTGATGAAGATGTAGTGAATATGCACTTGTTAGTAGTAGATGCTATCGAAATAGATATTGCGCACCGAATTCTATTTGACATGTGTATGTTTTAACTGTTCCAGTGGTAGCACGGGCTCGAACTTCGCTGCTGTTGTTGATCCAGCTCTTACAGAATCCGCGTCGCAGCTTGATGCATGTATCAAGGAGTTTGGAAAGACGATTGAAAGTCTGCTTATGAAGTACAGGAAGAAGATTATTGGTAGGTATCCCCATCCGAAAGCTAACTTGTTTATGATTTCTTTTTGCATTCTATAAGCGAACTGAGCGTGTGGTTTTCCCCTTTCCTCTATTAAAGCATTTTTTTTCATTTCATTATGTGAGTTCTGGCTGTGATGTCATGTACACCATTATTCAACGAAGCATGCTTCTAGCTCGACAGCCTTAATTGTTAAGAAATTCTTACTCTATTGTTGACGAGGTTTTCCACTTTGCATCGCCTATAATTTGCAATCTTCCGAATAATATTCAATAGGGAGGTTCACTCGGAGAATTTTTTCTTTGATTTTATCATTAGGTTAGGTGTACAAATTCTGTGAATGCCCTTTGTTTCCAGATCGTCAGTACGAAATGATTCGTGTTGCAGACGCTGCAATAGATATCTACTGTATGATTGCGACGCTATCTAGGTAGGTGGTAGATTGAATTTGATATATCACGTGTGACGTTACTGAGACTTCTTAAGGTGCACCCACTCTTGTAAAAGAAATGTTCCAAGCGCTGCACATGAAAGGGAGATTGCGACGTATTTCTGTAACATTGTGAGTTATTCGATTCCAAATATGAAACTGTACGATTGTATGTACGTAGGGCGCTTGTAGCGTAGTGGACGGAGGTGCCCTGCAATCCACATAGGATCGATCCTCGCGCCTCAGACTTACCAAGCCATCGGCCCCTCCGAGGTCGGCAAATTGGTACCAGACTTGTCTGCGAGGATAGCAACACTGTCTCGATACATTGGTAGTCCACCGCGGGTCATTGTAAAGGCCAGACATGCATTCAGTCACCTTTAACGATACTTAGTGAAGTCGAATGCATGGTGCATTCTTAAGGGATTGATTAAAGCCGAAAGCTTTATTCTTTTTTATCTTTATGAAGTAATTGTCATATAAAGTAAATTGTGATATCTTTGTCGAATTTTTGTTACTTTGGTGGTGACTCAAATGGTAGTAGTAACTTGCTGAACCACTTACGAGATTTTTGTCCAGGCTTCTCGTCGGGCACTGAACAATCTCAAGCAAGCTGCCGGAGCCAATGAAAATGAGGTGAAGCTAGTTTCTGCAATTGCTGGTGCAGTGTGTAAAAATGGCGGATTACCACAACAGCACCCAGTCGATGTTTGAATTGGCATCCACTTTCTAGTAGACCAATGATCCAATGATTAAATCGATGGATTCCTAAAAATTTGTCTTCGTTTTTGTGAAAGGGTTGTACTGCTAGAACGATTTCGAAGCATTGCTCATTTGTACCATCAGTTTGAATCTAAGCAGCCTCCACACTTGGTTCGAAAATGGGGTATTTATTTAAATTGTCCATGTGGTGTGATTTGCCAGCATTATTGTTTAAAATGTTTCAAAGGTTTCCTCGTAAGGCGGACATTGTTCTCACGCTGTACTGAAATCTGGACTATCATTGCTAAATAAAGATTTTTGTATTCAGCTGTGTTATCACAAGCGTATTTGCGACGGCGTTGGTTTTTCGATGACTAGAGCAATTGAGAGGCTTATAACTCGATGTAGGTGTAAGAGATTGCTCCGCTACCATGCATACACAGAATTGTAGGTTTACATCCCTTCTGCATCCATTTTTTAAAGTTAAGACCATGGTTCTTAACGCAATAGAAGAAGAAAACTTTTTGAGGGAAGCCCTAGAAGTTCCTAAACATCGAAGTCGGAGATAAGAAAAGATGTGGTTCACAGAATTCAGAATGTCACAGTTGATAGGTGGCTTGCATTTTGTTGCCATATAATGTTAGAAAACAATCATAATTGATTTACAAGATTTAGGAAGTGGAAGCTGTCTCGCAGGGTTTCTGCCTGCGGGACGTTTCTTTCATGGAAACTCGTTTTTCCAGAAGTATTGAAGCCTCCGCTGGACATTGGAGTCTTCTTACGGCATGACTCATGCGAAGACCGACCACATTTTGACAAACAGAGGATGGTGCCTATTTGACACATCGATAGTCTCGTCATTCTGTACTGGTTCCGATCACCGTCTTGTTCGCGTGAAGATTCGATTCAGCCGCAAGCTGGAAGAGAACTCATCATCGACTACGAGGAAAAAGTCTAGCTGTATACGACGAGAACATCTGAACGAAGCTCTATCCAAACGTGATTGGCAGAATAAAAACGACCGAACACTACGGGAGGCTTGTCGAAGGGTTGAAAGCTGTGCCGAATATGCCTCAGTTCCTCAAGTAAGAAGATCGGATCGCATGTTCACTACTACTAAGGAGCTGCTCGAAAAGAGAAGGAAATTGTTGACCTTAATTCTACTGCAACACGTTTAACACGGCTAGTAATAAATGCCAGTTGCAGAAGAGATTTGCAGGAAGACCTAAATCGGTACAGGCAAAATACTGGAGGCAACACAGAAAAGAAGCAGTCTGACAAATCCTCGTCGGGAATTGTGTGACTATAGTGTTCCTCTGTCAGCCATGATGAAGGAAGATGGGATCGTCAACACTTCCCGCCATGATATGGATTTAATAACGGAAACGTTCTACAGCAATTTTTTCCGTTCTACGATCTCCTTACCAGACTCTAATATCCCTAAATTACCAGACTCTAATAATATATAAAACCACCTGGAGCTCTTCCGTCGGAGGCTCGAGTTGTGATAAAAAGCATGAAAAGAGGCACAGCTCCAGAACCCGATAGTAATACCGCTGACTTCCTTAGAGCTGGAAGCTACAATTTATATGTACTTCTTGTAAACCATATGAGAGCCTACCTCCAAAAGGAAAAAATCCCAGACCGGTGGAGAAGGTCGCGCACGGTCATCCTACCCAAAAAAGGTGACCGAAGAGATCTTCGCAAGTATCATACGACATGCATGTTGAGTGTTCTCTACAAGCTCTTCACGAAGATTATCCTCTCGCGCATATCAAGAACATTGGATGAGGCACAACCAATGGAGCAGGAAGGATTTCAACAAGGATTTTGCTGCATGAACCACAACCAAACTGTGTCCGGGTCATCGAAGTGTGTGGAGAATACCACCTGCCTCTAGTCTTAACGTAACCTTTGTCGAGTATGAAAAAGCGTTTGACAATGTCGAAACAAATAGAATTCTATCAGCGCTCGTCGACCAAGGAGTGGACCCGTCCTACATAAGCGCACTGACTGTTATCGGAACTGCACTACGAAAATTCAGCTTTTCCATTGACCTCTTGTCATACAAATAGGAAAAGGGGTTCGAGTGGGCGACCCAATATCGCCAGAGCTCTTTGGTGCCCCACTGGAGTGTGTAGTAAAGTCACTCGATTGGAATGAGAAAGGCAAAACTATTGATGGAAAATTCCTATCCAACCTTTGTTTTGCCGACGACATCATCATCTTCTCAAGAAGTCGCAGCGAAGCAGAGACGATGATTAATGAGCTCAACGAAGTGAGAAAAAGGTCATACTACGCATAAATCGAAAGAAAACTTAGATCATGAAAATCCCATGGTGCGAAGGCGAAAAGACTGAACTGAATGGCTCTCTGATTGCAGAGACCACCTCGTACGTATACATTGGGCGATCAGTGAACACCGGAAAACAACATGAAAGAGTGACTAGACAGAAGAAGGAGAATAGCTTGGGTCGCATTCGCGCTTCTTAAAGAAGCCACCGTCCAACTGAAGGACCCGAAAATCCGCGCCCACCTTTTCGATGCAGTAGTACTCTCAGCGCTCTGTTATGCTGCAGAGATGTGGGCTGATACTTCAGCAAGGTCAAGAATGCTGTGCACTACTCATAGAGCTTTTGGACGATGTCTTCTAAAATATGACCGGCACTCTCAATATCTAACTGGAATGCGAACCTCTGATCTTCGAAATCTGTCACATCTTGGAGATCTAGGAGAACACACACCGATAGCGAAACATAGATGAGAAGATCACATAACAAATGGAACAGACGACAGATGGACGAAAAGAACTGTAGAATGGACTCTACGAGAATGCAGCCGTGGTGAACCATATCCAAGTATCCAACTAAGTTACAAGATTCATTGGCATTTGGAATATGGGTGCGTATTTACGCACGATGTGAATTAAAACTATAGGTAGCACAATTATTTATATTCCTGTTCAGAAAACATGAGGTGTTATTTTATTTCCTCATTTACCAGCAAGTTTCGGCGGATTTCACCTCTTCTGAACCTGGACGAGTCAAGTTTACCGCAATCTGTCAAGATAAACACCTACATAAACAAACAGAGGAAGTGCTAAGCTAAGATTTAACCACATTGAACACTGAATAACTTCTTTGCACACTCACCGCTTTCGGTGGGAAGGCATTCGCTTTGCATGCGAAAAGTCTGGGATTCGGTTCCCCATATCGCTACACGTTTTCTATATTGCGTTAGTGATAGAATCGGTAGGAAATCTGGCCTACAGAATGAAATGCCCAACTTCGTGTCTTTAGCTACTCCATGTGCGGGCATGCAGTGGGTGTATAGCTGAGGGGTGGAGCGCTCGCTTCGCATGTGAGAAGTCTGGGGTTCGGTTCTCCATACCTCCAAACCTTTTGCATTGCAGGTTAGTGAAGTTTAGGAACGTTCTAGGACATAATCGATTGAGTGAATACCCCAAATTTGTTCCATCTATTAATACACATTTGATTTAGAAACTCCAATCGGGAGTATAGCTCAGTGGTAGAGCGCTCGCTTTCATACCTCTAGAGCTTTTGTATATTGCGTTAGTGATAGAATCGATAGAAAATCTTGTCAATAGAATGAGATGCCGTCTTTGTTTTTTTAACTATTTCGTCTTGGATGACAAAATTCACGTCATAGGTCTTGGGTGTTAGACTACTCGTGTGCTGTTCACGTGGGATGATTAGTGAGACCCGTCCATGGAGACGTGCATCAAAAAATCATTCCATGAGGTGTCATATCACGAGAGACAGTGATGTATTCGTATTCATTTCTGGACTTCTGAAATTTATCCAAAGCGCCTCAAGGGTCTTGCACGTTGATGTTTTAGATTCCTGCGCTAGGATCGGACATTCACTTCAAAATCATCACCATTGTGCTCTTGTGCGCCATACGTAT